CACAATCAGCTTGGATTGTACTCGTAACCTCTGTTACTTCATTCGAGGGAAATGCCATTTCTGTGATATCTTATGTGGATTATTTTTATTATTGTGAAATTAAACAAGCGTTAGTCTGATGAAGCATATTATTTGGAACATTTTTATTAACAAGTACAGAAACCGTTATGTGTTTTTTTGTTTTTATTTTTTGCTTGTTTTCTGTATTTTTGTTGCATTGCATCAATGCTTTAAACTCAAATTAGATTATTTTTTACATTTAAACTTGCAATTCTAATTCCCCTGTAGCCTGTGAATGTTGTTATCGTACACATGTTCCAATGACAAAAGGCATTTTTATGGTTGGATGAGCTCCAAACTGATTCTCAGCAAGAATCTTGAAATTCCTGGATTGAAATGAAGACTAATTTTTGCTGCTGGTATTTAGGTAAAAGACGTGTGTGTGTGTGTGTGTGTGTGTGTGTGTGTGTGTGTGTGTGTGTGTGTGTGTGTGTGTGTGTGTGTGTGTGTGTGTGTGTGTGTGTGTGTGTGTGTGTGTGTGTGTGTGTGTGTGTGTGTGCGTGTGTGTGTGTGTGTGTGTGTGCGTGTGTGTGTGTGTTTCAGATATCAGGACGTCAGAAAGCTCAGAGCCACCTCTGCTAACTTGTCCCAGCAAATACTTAAATTTTAGGAATTTTTTTTACAACAATGAAAGGAACTGCTGATTAATTCTGCAAAGTCGGAGTTCAACTTAGGCTGTGGATGATCGATTTATTTATTTTTGGTTGGAAGAGGTGACGACTAAATAGACGTAGATATCAAGAAATGTTAACATACATTGTAAATTTTGATTTGTTCTACTTGAAAAAAGAATGCAATCTAACATGAACTTAAATGTGTGGAACACTGAAATTTTTTAAATTTTTATTACTGATCATAATCGGTCATGGTAATCAGTTTTTCATGCAGGCTGAACATGAAAATAGTAGTGTCCTACACCTATCTCCTGCATTAATTTCTGATAGAAAATAGACAGTGAAACTCTAGGATTTGAAAAGCCCGACAGATCTACGTCACACTGTCACTGACCATTCATGGACTCACCCATCTTGACTCGCAACAGGGAAGGCTGTTGTTAGGTTAGCATCCAGAAAACAGCAGTGAATGTCTTGTCTATTAGAAGCTAACCATTAGCATTAGCAGCTCCACCACCCAGCAGAACTTCTCCAGGCTTGTGTTATTTGTAAAGATAAAACATCAGCGTTGCAAAGCAAACAGAGGGCCACGTTGCTGTTCGCCAATCAGAGGTGAGGTGTCCAAATATCAGGAAATACGACTACAAAACCTGCAGTCTGCAGCTCAACTGTGATGTGGCTCACTTCTAGTTCCTGAAACTTGTGCACCAGGGCTTTTCCATTCGTTCCACTAACCACTGAAAATGTATTGATTAAACGAGTGTTCCACACCTTTAAAATAGTGAGTGCACAAGGTATGAGAATCAGTTTGGACAAGGTATGTGTTGGAGCTACCAATACTTACAAAGTAAATTAAATTTAAATACTTAAACTAGGGGGACAATGGTGGCAGAGGAGTTAAGTGCCCATCTTGTGATCCGCAGACCCACCAACCCACCAGAGAGTTGTGGGATCGAGTCCCACTGAGGATGTCGCAGTCGTGTCCGTGGACACGACCTTTAACCGTCCTTTCCTGTTGGTGGTGGTCGGAGGGACTGGTAGCACCAGTGTTTGGATGCCTCTCTCCCATTCCCATGGCAGCTGTGACTACGATGTATGTCACTGCCACCAGAGTGTGTGTGTGTGTGTGTGTGAGAGAGAGAGAGAGAGAGAGAGAGAGAGAGAGAGAGAGAGAGAGAGAGAGAGAGAGAGAGAGAGAGAGAGAGAGAGAGAGAGAGAGAGAGAGAGAGAGAGAGTGAATGGGTGAATGATTGATTGTGTTGTGAAGCACCTTGGGGGGTTGTAGAGCTATTGAAGTTACAAGTTACCATTTATAACAAACTAGTGCAAAGTACTTAAATCGTTGCTTACCTAACTAGTGTTTCAGAATTATACTTAGGCAGTAGTAAACTGTAAGCAAAGTTTAAATACTTTGTACACATTTTTTTAGTTACAGTAACTTACATTTAAGTGCATTTTACTTGGTAAGTGAAAAAGTAGCTCTGTCACATAATTACCAAGTGACGTGAACATATTAGTTTGAGTGTATTAAATGTGAATAAATTAACTTTTGACCAGTAGAGGCCAGAAAGCTCGATCAAGTGCAAATATAGAGATAAACAATAAAAGAAGTTGCAAAAGATGATGCGAACAAACTCATAAAGCACATTTTTTGCAATATGACCTTTTAAATCTTTATTAAGTTATCAACTTTTAAATTAAAAACCAAAGCACATTAAGATTTAATCATTCTGTGGCTGTCAACAGTAAAAAAAACACCATCAGAAGGGTTTCACAGAAATCTACACGCTTTGGACCCCTGTTGATCCACCCCTGTTGGCTTTATTTGTTTATTTGTTAATTGCATTGTGTGTACATTCTGTAGATGGGAGGGAGGAGGGTTAGCTTATAAGTAATTAACAAGTAATTTGCTCCATCTAGAGAAATGGGGAAGTTACTCATGCGATGCACCCTGACAAGGTCACTGGCTGATAGATGAGCTTGAGCGAGGGGATTTTTCTTTTTCTTTCTTTTTTTCCAGAGATTGCGAAGGCAGCCAGAACTGTGGGAACCAGACAATTAGTCGGCGGAAGGGTGGGCAGCCATGCTGGATGATGACCATGAGACTGGTTACATGAATACTCACCACTTGGCTGACTGACAGGGAGAGAACCGACACCTGGGCTCGACCAGCACCTAACACTCTGTCATTTATCTTTCAGGAGGCTGATTGGGCAATTTGCCAGCAGTTTAGGAAGACCATGTGCTACTTTAAACAAGCAAGGATGGAATCCCTGAAGACAAAAAGACCACAAGGCTGCAGAAATCAGCTCAAGCGGAAGGATTTCTGGGATGTGTAAAACAGATTAGTTCTAATAAAGCAAGAAAGAGTGAATATTAAACTGAAATTATTCACCTGAATTTGATTTAGAGGGCTGTAACTTTTTTTATTTTCACAACTTCATGAGAAAAATTGCTCCTATGAAAAGCAATGGCAGAAAAATATCTTGGTTTGTTGAAAAAAGACTTGAAGTTAATCTGATTTTAGCATAAAACATTATATTTCTCTACAGCGTTAAAGTAATGACAATTATTTTTGGCATAAAGTGTAATTTTACAACCTCACGGGAAGTTGTGGGGAAGAGGAGTGCTGGACAAAAATAGAAAGAAATCATTGACTTCAGATAAAATTTCAAAGATATATTGTTTAAAACAACTTTACGGGTTTAGAATGTTATAATTTTCAAGTTTACTTTTTGGGCATTTTTTCTTCTAGGAGATAAAAACAATGCCTCACATGCACCTGGAGCTTCAAAGCCTGCAGAACTCGTATTCAGGACTTGAAATACACCAGGCGCTTGACAACAGTTGTTAATCAGATAATGAAAGTCTTAGATTTACACAAGCACTCTTGCAGAGAAGCAGCAATAATTTTTTGCCATGGCAGCCTACAAGGGTGGGGAGAAAGTGGAGGTGGGATTTGGTACCAGGCGCTTGCCTTCCCAACAGAATGACGCATCTAGTGATCTCTGTGGTGAAACACTCCATCAGCCATTTCCCCTCAGCACATTATTTTGGGCAGTTTGTGCCTTGATGAATGTAACAGAGTCAAGTTCCCTTTTTGTGTAAATGCTAACATAAATACACGACAAGCAGACTTTCGAAGGAATTACGACACGGCGTGATGTGCCTCTATAGCCAATGAATCCTCAAAGTACACATATTTCCTGACAAGATGAGCTGTGAGCGGTGATGCAAGGAAATGAAAAACAGGATCTTCACCACGGGACAAAAGCCTGCTCGCCACCCAAACATCTGTAACCCGATCCCACAGTCTAGGGATGACCTCTTGCTCCACTTGCCCTGCTCACCTCAATCAGCGAGTGATCTGCCATTGTAACAATACGCAGGGTCCCATTTGGTACAGAGGCCCTACACGTGCACACATAGGTCAATGGGTGTCTGGTGGAGGAGAGCTGCCCTCTGACATCTCTGGCTTGGAAAGCTCTGGGTCAGTCCTTCTGCGGTGGTCCACAAAGACAGACTGGGGTTTAATCAGATAACTTCTTCAGGGAATCACCTCAGTAACTCAAATCCAAAACATCCACAGTTAATCTTCCAGAGGAGAGATTGACATTCAAATAAAAGTCTGGACTTAGTTGAGGGAAGCCTATGTGACTAATGAAGATTATGATAACTGGTGTGGAAAAACTAAATAACTAAAACATTCTAACTCTTGCTCACAGTACTCATAGTTGTCAAAAGTGAATTCATTTAACATATAAAATAAAGAAACAAATGACAGGCTGGTCCTCACGTGTTGCTGTCTGCATGATTTCTGTTTTTCTGCACCAGCACACCTGGTTGGAATCAAACTTCTGAAGAAATTGATGATATGCTGAAGAGGTGATTCAATACTTAAATAAAGTGCGTTAGAGCAGGAGAATATATAAAAAGTGCAGGACAGTGTCACTCCAGAACTGGGATTCAAGTTAACTGCATGAGTCTCGCATGTAATACATGGACATTTGCACTTCCAGATAAACGGAATGATCAAGGATTTAAACTGAAGACACAATTCACCAACAACTGTGTTTTTAAAGCATAAATATGATCAAAAATGTAAAAGAGTACTAAGAAAAAATTCTATGTGGTAATTATGTTTTTATTTAGCAATTACCTAATAAAATATTGGTTATTTGTGATAAATAGAAGTAGAGTGATATAAAGTGGCGCTAGGGAATTCAAAAAAAGAATCAACAATTTTTTATTTTTCATTTTATTATTATTATTATTTTTACTTTACGCGATCCCAGATACATTTTAAATTACTGTCTCTTTAAGAGAATGACCCGGAAGTGTACAGACGTGACCGGCATTGTAGCGCTTTCCTTTCCGGTTACGTCTCAGCTCTGGTAGGAGCGTGGATTTCATCTTCTAGGCTCAAAATACACCAAAACATGAGCGTTCCGGCATTCATTGATATAACCGAAGAAGACCAGGTCAGATATAGATGTTTTAAATAAATATTTTATCACCGTTCCTCCAAAACTAGTTAGAAACTGAAAGCTTTTCCAGATAATTTAGCGCTTTAGCTTGCTGTATGCTAACATGTTTAGCTGCTGACAGGCACCTTTTGAATATGTACGTGAGTAAATATAAAAAACGAAATGTTAACTTTTACATGTAATTTATTTAAGCAAGCTGCTGTGAGTGATTTTTATCTGAAATAATTTGCGGTCCATGATGTTTATAAAGTTAGTTATAACGCTTTAGCAATGACTGCTAATATTGTAGCCATATAACTATAAACAAATGGGTACAATAAAGAATAAGAATTAAAAGGCAGCAAGTTAGGCATTCTCATAGTTTTTAAATGACTGATTCATAATTATACAAACAAAGCTTTCATAGTGCACAAGAAAATGTAGGACAGTATCTTTATTTTACGCTAAAACAAATACAAAATCCACTGTTAACTATATATAGGATAGTGTTAATGGGTGAGCATTGCTCCTGGACACTGTGTGTGATTATGGTATAATTCAGCCCTAATTAACTCAAAGGAAAATACGTTTTTGTTGCAGGCTTCAGAGCTGAGGGCCTATATCAAGGCCAAAGGAGCTGATATTTCAGAGGAGAACTCTGAAGGTGGACTTCACGTTGATCTTGCTCAGATCATCGAGGCGTGTGACGTCTGCCTCAAAGATGATGATAAAGGTTGGTGATGAAAATTAAGACATGAACAGACTTTTTTTTTAATGGTGCAGTTGATTAAGTATGTGTCAGTGTTTAATTTGAAATCTATAAACTGGCTCGTGTCAGTTTTGAAATAAATAAAAATACAGAAATAACACATGGATTTGCCAAATGTATCACTAATTACACCCCTGCAACACAAATAGGTGATATTACACCGAGTGAATTGTTTTTATCTCCTGATTTTCATTCACCCGTTCGTTCCCCCGCAGATGTTGAGAGCGCAATGAACAGCATCGTGTCTTTGCTGTTGATACTGGAGACAGAGAAACAGGAGGCTCTCATCGAGAGTCTGTGTGAGAAACTGGTAAAGTTCCGTGAAGGAGAAAGGCCCTCCCTCAGGTTGCAGCTGTAAGTTCTGCCCCTCATTTGAGTGTTTCAACAAAAGTTACCATTAAAATATCAGATTGTTTGATGCTGTGGTTTTAAAGGCTGAGCAACCTGTTCCACGGCATGGACGAGAACACTCCAGTGAGGTACACCGTCTTCTGCAGCCTCATCAAAGTGGCCGCCGCCTGTAATGCCATTTCCTTCATACCCACTGACCTGGATCAGGTAAATCTATGAGATGCATTTGTTTTTAGCTAAAAGAAGACTGCGTTGATATCTGCAGAGGTGATATTTGGCTTTGTCTCTACTTAGGTGCGTAAGTGGATCATTGACTGGAGCCTGAACACCGAGAAGAAGCACACACTTTTGAGGCTGGTCTATGAAGCACTGGTTGACTGCAAAAAGAGGTAAAACCAAAGATCAGACATGCGTACTTTAAAAAGTAGGAAGGACATGTAGGAAGCTGTTGTATGTTTTCTGTGGGTTTTTGTGTGAATAAAAACATTGGATCATTGTCATGCATACTCATTGGTATTAGTGTGCTTCATTAGAAGACTTTTCAGACGTTTTACTTCTTTAACAGCGAACCTGCAGCAAAAGTCATGGTCGAGTTGTTGGGAAGTTACACAGAAGACAACGCTTCACAAGCACGTGTTGATGCTCACAGGTAAACTCAGAACCATTTTCATTTGTTTTTAAAACCGTGCCTCTCCTTACAAACAAGCATCTCCGCTCTTGTAGGTGCATCGTCCGTGCTCTCAAAGACCCCAACACCTTCCTGTTTGACCACCTGCTCACCCTGAAACCGGTTCGCTTTTTGGAAGGAGAACTCATCCACGACGTAGGTGTTGCAGGATGTTTTATATATGTATTTATAAAGTTTTTTATTAATAAAGTATATCGGAAATATTTGCCTTTTGGGGCTGCACAGTGGTTAGTGGTTAGCGCTGTTGCCTTGCAGCAAGAAGGTCTTGGGTTCAAATCCTGCCCTGGGGTCCTTTTGCATGGAGTTTGCATGTTCTCCCTGTGCATGCGTGGGTTCCCCTCGGGTACTCTGACTTCCTCCCACAGTCCAAAAACATGACTGTCAGGTTGATTGGCTATTCTAAAAAAATAGTCCTTAAGTGTGTGTGTGTGTGCACGCGCGCGGTTGTGTGTCCTGTGTGTCACTGTGTTGCCCTGCGATGGAGTGGCAATCCTTCCACGATGTACCCCACCTGCTTGCCCAAAGACTGTGGAAGTAGGCACCAGCCGCCCATGACCCTGTGTGGAAAAGCATGTAAAGAAAATGAATGGATATTTGCCTTTTAGTGTCTTTCATAGCCTTGAAATTGGAAAAATAAAAAAAAAGTCAGTCATGTTTATTAACTATCAACAGGACTTCCTGAACGAGTGGAATCAAAGAAACTAGTGTTTACTTTAGCTGTAATGTTAACCAGAGTTTTGACAAGTTTTACTGTAGATCAGGATTCTGCAACTCGCTGTCCTGGAGCCACAGGTCACTATGACTCAACTTTGGCTAGAAATGAGAATAAAGTAACTGTAACGTAGAAATATATTTAAAAGTAGGTGTAATAGATTTTCATGGAATAATTCCATTGAATATTAGTTCAATTTAGTTTTATTTATATAGCGCCATAACACAACAAGAGTCGTCTCAAGGCACTTCACAAAGTAAACATTCCAAAACAGGTCAGGGGTCTCATTTATCAAACATTGAGTAGAGTCCTTACTAAAACCGTACTTAAGCTCAACAAAAAAAATGTACTTACGCCAAGTAGGTTTGTGATCTATCAAACAGGGTGTACACACAGCTGCACGCAATCTCCGCTTCATAAATCGGAGACTAACGAGAAAGTTTCTCAGCTGCTTTTTAGTCACATCCCGCCCTCACCACGCCCACTTACTGCCATAAATGGTCAATGCAAAGTGCCTTGTGGACCTCATGCATATACATAAGCCGGCTGTTGCAGCGCTCCGCAAATGATGATGGCGACCATAGATCAAGGAAGCGCAATTTTACACAAGCAGAAGTTGAGGTACCTGTGGGTGAGGTGGAGAAATGAAAGGAAGGGCTTTTGCAAAACAAATGAGAGAAAATCCACGGAGTGGCACAGCGTTGCTGAAGCCGTCAATGCTGAGTTCTTCAGAGAGATCTGTGGTGGATATAAAAAAAAATGGTCCAATCGGGATTCGATCCCCAGACTCCCGGGTAAAAGTCACACACACTAACCAGTCACCCAAACAGATATCTCCCTTGTCCAAGTAGCCAGGGCGCATGATCAATCGGGTCACAGTGACAGGACACACACACTGTAACAGACTCATGACATTCTATCTCAATCTGTCCTCCTGCTGATATTCTGCATTCCGTATTCTGGCTTCAGGGTGTGTGCGTGTGTGCGAGTGTGCACGCGCGTGTGTGTGCGTGTGGGGGGGTTTGTTCTGTGTGAAAACGAAGCAGTACAAGTGATAATGCTGCAGGATTTCATAATTTTATCCTTCTCAGCAGCATCACTGCAGGTGCTCTCATGTCTAAAATGTGTGTAAGCCAGGTCCTTAGTCAACTTAAAGTTGCGCACATTTTTCCGCTAAGTTTTCTTTCATAAATCCCAAAGTTAGCGTGGAAAGTTGCTCACGCAGTTTTCCGACCCCGTTTTGTGCGTAAGCAAGCTTGATACATGAGGCCCCTGTTCATTAAGCCATTCAGTAAAAAGTTTCCTATATTAGGAGCCCTGCGGATCACATCAAGTCAATCCTCATACTAAGCAAGCATTTAGCGACAGTGGAGAGGAAAATTCCCTTTTAACAGGAAGAAACCTCCAGAGGATCCTGGCTCAGTATAAGCAGCCATCCATCACGACTCACTGGGGGTCGAGAAGACAGAGCAGACACACACATACACCAACACCAGCCCACACACACACATTAAGTAGTGTTTCTCTGGTTACATTGTGATTTCTTAGTAGATATTCTATTTAGTAAGAGATTAACTTTATTGTCTTTAAGTGAATTTTATAATTAATTCAACAGGTGAACTAGTAGTAGCACATTCCATGTTAAAGAAAATAAAATGTTATCAGGAGAGGGAGAACATTTAAGTGGTTAGCAGCAGTGTGCCAGCCGGCTGCTTTTCAGAGACACGTGTCCTGAGGGTAACGAATTGTTGTTGTGGAAGAGCTGTTTTAATAATTTTCCGCCTAGAAAAATGAATCATTACTCGTTTTGCAAAAGTTTATTTTTCTTTCTTATTTCTAAAGCTTAATAATATCAGCATCTGTTTGTTTTTTTACAATAATTACCTTAAATATTTAATACTAGATATTTACAGGAGAGGAAAAATAACTTCTGACTTCTCTCAGAATTCTTACACTCGTGTCAGAACAAAAAAGAGAACTCTTTTTCAGTAGCTCTAATCTTTTTTTTATAGATATTTATTTAAAAAAATAGAAAAGTAAAATGTCCTGTAGCTGCAGCTCTGAATGAGTTTTATTAGATCGACTGAGGGGAAAACGGCTCGTGATTTAGGCTGCAGACTGCTGAGGTTGACAATTCAAGGACAAATGAGTCGAGATGAAACAGTTTGATGTATCTTCTCGTCAGTTTTTTTACCAACTTTCATCCTTTTCCCTCTGCAGCTGTTGACCATCTTTGTCAGCGCAAAACTAGCAGCCTACGTGAAGTTCTACCAGAACAACAAAGACTTCATCGATTCTCTCGGTGAGTTTTCACGAGAAAACAGAAACGCCAAACGGGCGTGTGACAGACGAACTTTTGTCCTGTGTAGCTGTGATCAGTTTCACTCTGTTGACACAGAGCAAGAATGTTTGTGTCAGCATTGTTTTTCTTTTCCTCGCTGCTTGCAGAGCAAGGGTAAATTAAACCATGTTTGGGTGGACTCTGAAAACAGAACAGAGACACGTTTGTGTTAATGAGCAGAATTCCCGACCGTTATTCCAGGGAAACTCCCAGAGTGGACGAGTAATTGACTGTGACTGTTTAATGATCCCTGTGTGACGCTCCTCAGGCCTCTCTCATGAGCAGAACATGGCCAAGATGCGTCTGCTGACGTTCATGGGCATGGCGGTGGAGTTCAAGGAGATCTCCTTCGACACCATACAGCAGGAGCTGCAGATCGGAGCTGAAGATGTTGAGGCCTTCGTCATCGATGGTAAAAGCTCTTCACACTTATCGTGTTACGGCAGATTGGACTCTCTTCTGAAGCCTCCATGGCTGCAGCTTCTCAGTAACATGCAGATAGGCTCCTGTCACTGATGTAAGCACGTTTTGCTCACTGATACCTGGAGATAAAACGGACTAGGCTGCTCTTTGTAGGCATCTAGTGATGGCTCCAGCGGTGTTGGTAGATGTGAGTAGAATGAGGTGCAAGTGAAGATGAGTGGTGTGCTGTTGCTGCAGCGGATGGAGGAGGAAGTTCCGCTCACCGTGGTGGTTTTAAGGCACAAAAACAAAGCTCTCATACAACACTGGATCATTCGACTCACATAGGGAAAAAAATATTCTAGCAAATACAAAAGTTTACAAAAACAACAAATCTGACTAAAAAGCTGTTTAATGTTGCTTTTAAAAGCTTGTCTTTAATGTACAAAAACAAAATAGTCATAATCTAGTAACCAGACTGCTCCAGAGCTCATAGTTGTGTTTACTTGTAGAGATTATAGAGTTTCCACACATATGTACCCATGTGTACACTTTTAGACGGCTTCACCAAGAGCTGTTGATTTGCCTGACAGGATTTTGAGTTTTTCTTTCTGGACGTTTGAGTCTAGTCAGGAAAAAAAGGATCAAGTCAGAAGTGTAAACAGTGCTTGTTGTGCAGCCCCTGTTGGTCAGCTGAGGTCTTACACTTTTTGTTCGTATTTCTGCTTCGCTGTGTTCCTGCAGCTGTTCGGACCAAAATGGTGTACTGCAAAATCGACCAGACGCAGAAAAAGGTGGTCGTGAGGTAAGTGTTTGTGCTTTCAGGTGTTTTACTAGTCATCGTTAGGGAAAGGAAGGTTATGCCGATTGTGGAAATACTTATTTTTCTATTTATGTTCCAACAATCAGTAAGTTAAAAATGGCTACAAAGCAGAAGGAGGGAATAAGAAAACAGGAAAGTGTTGCCATGTTTGTGCTTTCGCCGTTTTAGAAACCGTAGAGGTCAGATACTCGTGGGTTTGATAAGCAGATCTTCAGGCAGCTTCATCGGACCGCAGAGCGGTGGACACCTGCACAGATATGACCTTCATGAACAAGTTATCTGAGCAACAGACAACCTAAACTTGGACTGTGGGCTTGTGTTAGAGCCACGGGAGATGGAAGGTTAAACTAGAGACGAACAAAGCCTAAGAGGTGAAGATATGGAGTCTCATCAGTTATCTTTGTGCACGCACTGTTTACAAGTTAGCTGCCGGCCTTGCAGCTAACTTCTTCTAGCAGTAATCTGAAATGAATTTCTTCAAATAGCATGCCAAACTTTAGCTTACCTGTCGAGCAAAAAAACGGTGACAGAGGCATCTGGGAGCCCAAACTTCGCTTTGCGCAGGAAGTGAAAACTACCCTGTAATGAGCACCACGACGGCCGTGAGTGAATGGTTCACCAGATTGATGGACAGTTATGCAGACCAATGGTTCAGATGATCCAGCTGGAAGAAAAAGATCCTCTGCAATACCTTTAATAGAGATAATGTAAGACATTCAAAAATGTTCATTCAGTCTATACAAAATCTGGTGATTTCAGAAGCACAAGTGTCTGTGTGTGTTAGGGCTGCGCAATACTTGGCAAATGTGTCGTTATCACAATATCAGCATGTGCAGTACACATCTCAAACAACAACAAAAAAGGCTTTTGATTGTTCAGCTGAAATGTTTGTTGCACATGATAAATTTTATCAATCAAACTGAAGCATGAAGTTTTAGACAAATCAAATAGTGCTCTTCACCT